CTACGAAGGAGGCTTAAGACTTAAGAAAAACTAGGGCATCCTGCTGACTGTAAATCTCAAAACAAGAACAGTCAGGCAAAAATCCGGAATAACAAATAAAAAAAGAGACCACTACAGATCCTCAAAACATTTTACAAATGATTGCCTTCCGAAAAATTTGGCTTATCTGAACCATCACCAAAACGTCATTCCAGACTAAATTGGAGTCCAAATGCACAATTAACTGAATTTAGGGCTGAAGAATATCACGAAGAAGGGGCGAGTACAAATACACTTTGAGCCTAATCCTTTGTTTCTTAAACCGTGAACCAAACCATGTTACAACCTTTCAAAAGTCCTAATTGAAGCTTGGGTTAGTTCGAAGGCATACTGTTACAAAAGGTATCCCGACTCCTGTAAGGCTTTACTCCAAATGTTGAGTTAAATTTTCTTACAAAAATTCTTTACTTGCTAAAACACATTTTCAAAATTCAAGACAAGCATAAACTTTGCATTAATTTTAATATCGTTGTTTGCACATGGCTAATTGTTTGACAGCAGAGAAATTTGCACGACGAATATCCAGTGAATGAAAACTCTCTCATTGAACAAAATCACTTCAAATGGGAAGACACTTCCAAAAAGCAGATCTCCTATAAGCAAGGGGGCATGACGCGTCATCGTCCAACACATCTGGGGAAGTCCAGTCAAGATTCCATGAAATCTCTCAAGAAACATTAAAGAACCAGGGACAAATCTCCATCTGAATCACTTAGGGCATTGGACATGAGTTCCAGCAACGAATCGTATACGATCAAACAAACATCTTCTGGAAGTGTGGCAACACCTTCTACTAGGGGAAATGACAAATCCCCCATAAAATCCCGTTCACAGGGTGGTTCCCAACCAGAGCTTCAATCTCTGAAAACTTCTCCCCAACTGAGTTGATCTCAAGAATCCTCGAGGAGTTCTTCCAAATGAAAGTACCTCTCCGACATATTGGCAATAGGGTTTATTTCCCCAACAAACTACATATTTCTCAGCTTGAGTTTGCCTCTCCGATTACTACAAATCAAGGGACTACAACTCTTTTTCCCCAGTAGACTACTCTACAATCCCCGACAAGTTACTATGAAGCCTGGAAACCGACCAGATAATAGTTAACTTCAATAAGTTATTTTGAAGCCTGGAATTCTACAAGATAACAACTCAACTTCATTCTCTCAGAAATTTTTTACGAAGCCTGAAAACTGACCAGATAACAATTAAATTCACCAATCTACTGCGAAGCCGGGAAACTGACCAGATAATAGTTTAACTTCACTCTCCCATGTAATTTTCTATGAAGCCTGGAATCCTACCAGATAACAGTTAATTTAATCTTCCCCAGTAAGTCGCTGCGAAACCTGGAATATGACCAGATAACAGTCAACTTCATTATCTTCAATAAATTGCTGCCAAATCTGGATTTTGACCAGATAACAACTAACTTTCCTTTTTCTTTCGTCAAGAGATAACTCCCCAGTAGTGCAATGGACAACTAAAAAACTCCTGAACTCTTTTCCCAAGCAGGAGTCAACACTCTCCACATAATTTTCTTCTCATAGCAAAATCAACATCCCCAGCGAAAATCTCCTTAAATAACAAAATTTGAATCTCCAGTAGGAACGTTATAAACAATGTTTGAAAACACACCTACTCTTCAACTTCAGTTCGGGATTTAAGGAATCCCCAACACTTATCAAGGATTTATTTTCTATGACAAAATTACATTCCAATAATATTTCATGTATCATACATGATAAATGCATACATCATAACCTCATTTATTTTGGGAAACATCGTTACGCCATGCATTTCATCTATTGTGATATTGCATACAGCTAACCCTTTACCTTTTCTGGAAAGGTCAATTGACTGATAATTATCATAAACAATTTTCAAGAGGTCCAGGACTAGTTCCTGAAATAAGACAGAGAAACTACCTACGTGACCAGATGCAGCTTTGCACATGTTCATCATGAAGAAATCTTACATGGATTCCTTCTCATCATGAAGTTACCCTACCCAGGTTCCTTCTCATACATTTCCAGATGAAGTTTTACACGGACTCATCCTGAAGCAACCCTACCCATGTTCCTTCTCATACATTTCCAGATTAAGTTTTACACTAACTCATCCTAAAGCAACCCAACCTAGGTTCTTTCTGATACATTTCCAGATGATGCTTTACACGAACTCATCATGAAGCAATCCTACCCAGGTTCCTTCTCATACATTTCCAAATTAAGTTTTACATGGACACATCCTGAAGCAACCCTACCCAGGTTCCTTCCCATACATTTTCAGATGAAGTTTTAGACGGACTCATCATGAAGTTACCCTACCTAGGTTCCTTCTCATACATTTCCAGATGAATTTTTACATAGACTCATCCTGAAGCAACCCTACCCAGGTTCCTTCTCATACATTTCCAGATGAAGTTTTACACTGACTCATATTGAAGCAACCCTACCCAGGTTCCTTCTCACACATTTCCAAATGAATTTTTACACAGACTCATCATGAAGTTACCCTATCCAGGTTCCTTCTCATACATTTCCAGATGATGTTTTACACTGACTCATCATGAAGTAACCCTACCCAGGTTCCTTCTCATACATTTCCAAATGAAGTTTTACATGGACTCATCCTGAAGCAACCCTACTGTAGAGGTAAAATCAATGAAGTCGCCACCTAGTATTTATTTATCCCATATGAAAGGGAAAGGAAAATCATCGAAGAAACCCTAAAGGGGAAATCAAGGTCTTGCGACTGAGAGATTGGGTAAGGGAGTCAATTACGCGATGGGAAGGTATTAGCACCCCACACGTCCATAGTACTCTACGGGATCCACTCTCGTTATTCTAATCAAAGAGCGTGTTCAATCTAATGCTTAAGGGTTATAAACTAAGAGTGAATGCATGCAAAGAAAAGAGAAAGAATGTAGGGAAAATAAAGTTGTAATCGCTTGGGCACTACCCCAATGCCTACGTATCCTTTTTGAGGAATCAGAGCTACCGTAGTTCGGCTCATATATTTTGTTCGTTTGTATTTTTTAAATGAACAATGATGCATTCAATCATTCCACCGCTACTCGACCTTTGGAGACTTATGACCTGTAATGGAAAGGAGCTAACATGCTCTTAGAAGAGAAAAGTCGAATGGCGAAAAGAAAGGGATTGGTTGGTATTTTTTTTATTATGAAAAGTATTTTTGTATGCTTAGCATTCTTTATACATTTGCCAAGAAAAAAAAGAAGTTTTAGTTTTAAGTGCAACTATGCAAAAACGGGGAAAACATTTAAGGGAGACTAACCTATCTCTAACCTAATGTTATCATACAATGAGGGATCCTACCTAAGTTAGCATGCCAAAGAAAGTATAACAAACTATCCTATAGGGAATATGCACTGATAGCGAAGTCGTGATCTCAATTTCTAAATTGAGTGACTCATCGATCAACAAGAAATAAAGGAAAACGATAAAATCCTATAGGGAGCATGCACTGAGAGCGAATGTCGTGATCTCAATTTCTAAATTGAGTGACTCATCGATCAACAAGAAAGAAAACAAACACAAGCACAACACATATAATAAATGAAGTGCGGAATGCCTGCTACAGGTCTTTAAACAGCGACTTCGAGGGCACGCTCTTTATTTCCTACTTCTCATGATATCTAGGAAGCGATAAATGCGAAAATATAGCTTGGAAGCAGTATAATACCGAACGAACAATAATGTCTGCAAAAAGCACAACCAAAGCAAAGAAACCAGGAATACTTCGCGCAAGCTAACGGAGTAGGTCATTTGCCTCTTCAAAACCATGCAAGCGATAAGAAAACTCTACAAAAGCCGCTTCCCATAAATGATCAAACAAATTAATCTCCAGGAAATCCATATCACCAAAAGATTGCCTTAATACTGTCATAAACTCTCAACAACAATGTCAACTGAATGATTAGCAAACATAAAAAAATGATAATAAAACTCTAATTAAAATTCTAAAAGGAAATCCCAAAGAGTTATATTAACATATTTTTATTGTTTTATCATGTATTCCTATTACAAAATTATAATTAAAAAAAAAGTAAAAACTAAAAGGTGATGAAAAGAAGACTAAGAGAGAGCCAGGGGTGCAAGCTGAAATCCGTGAGTGCTGGAGAAATCTGATGGTGCAAAGTCAGGGCGTTAGGCCTAATCTGGATGAGTCCAAGAAGTCCGTTTTTGTTGACATTGTTTCAGGCTTCAATAATCAAATTTCGAACAGCAAGGCCCAAGGAATTTAACCTCCACTACCATCCAATTTCCAACAGATTTATTCAGCTTTTGACTTTCTTCAATTTAAAATGATAATAAAACGAAAATATTAAACTGAGATGAATGTATATGGTGCCGTTCCGCTTAGCACGACCCTTCAACTTCTTTACTCACCTCTGAGTCTCTTTCTCGTTTTCAAGCAGCGATTTTCGGCAAGCATGTCGCCTCGAACGCCACCACTAAACCAGTCTAAATCACCATGGTCCAACACGTACCTACCCTAAGACAAAACTCTGAATCCAGATTCACCATCAATTTCTCCTAAAAACCCTTCATATGGTCGAATCGACGAAGAAGAATAAGGAACCCTAATCTTCAAAAATGAGTCTATTCCGGCCAAATACCACGATTCGAGTGTTGTTATCACTCGTAGACACCAAAGCGCATCAGAGTGTTTCAAGATTGATCAAGAAGCACATGTAAACGATCCTGATTAGAGCCCCCTGATGTTCCGGTGCGGTTGTGTTTCGTCTCAACCGGAGATTTTAGGTTCGAGTAGTTCTATTCTCCTTCTTGTTCGTGGCTGATCTACTTCAGCTTCGTATTCACTCAATTCTGGTCTCTCTACTCACAGATTTCAATGGATAACATGAACATGAACAAATCAATATGCGAGAATTAAAGCTTCAAAGTTTATGTTTCGGAGAATAGTCTGGTGCTTCTTCAATTTTTTATCAGTTTTGTATCTCTTTCATCTTTTTGGCTTTTACTCTTCTGCAATTCCTCAAAGTCGTAATTCTGAGCCTTCTTGTACCTCTTGGTTTCTGAATCGCGTATGTTGTGACAATACGTTGATTCAGTGAAGGCTAAGGATGCACCATTCGCTACTGCAGGTATGCTTGCTGGAGAAGGTTGATGAATACAGAGCGGTTAGGACGAGTTTTTTCTTGGCTTTGAATAATGTTGCAACATAATTGATGAAGGTGTTATTGACTTGTTATGCATGGAGATGAAGATTGGAGATTGAAGAGAAACTCAACAGGTTTAAATGAATAATGAAAGCGAAGGAAAAATGGTGAAAACGGAACCTGAATGCAGATAAAGTGCCGAGTAACAATGAGAATTTTCTTAGATTTTGTTATGATTCTTTTATCGAGGTCTAGCATGAACGTGAGACGAGCAGAGAGAAGGTTAAAGATTCTTCTGCAGAATTCCAGATTGATGAAGTAGATGGAGATACTTTTATAATTGTTCCGCCAGAGAAGAGATCTTTTGGTAAGTTCTTCTGTAATTTCTTCTTGAATCCATCGTATCCCCCCTTTACTCTCTTTCTGTTACCCCCTCTCCTTCTAGCTCACCCAATTTCTGTTGTTTTTCTTTTGTTAGGAAGTTGGTTACCGGTTTGTTATAGTTGGTTATTGCAGTTAGAGGGTTGGTTAGGAGTGAATTGATTTGAACCTTTGGATCTAGATTTCTGTTAGGGAATAAGAGGGTATAGATTAGGCGGTTAGAGAGGTTTAGAAATATGATTACATGCTATAGCTTGAAGTAAACCTTCCTTCTCCTTAAATGATGGCAGAGACTTCTGGAATTCCAGCATCTTCTTGCCTTCAGGAGATTCCTGCCAAGATCTTTGCATATTACGCATCCTCAAACTCCTCTTATGGAGAACCTTTTCCATAACAGACTCCTCCATAAAAGAAATGGTATTTTCATTCATGTCTATATCTTTAACCTAATTGGTAGAATTAACACTATCCAAACAGTCAGTGGTCTTTTCAGAATTTAACTGTAGCCTATCAAGGTATTCCTGCACTAAACCCTCCACCCTTCTTTGTAAGCTTAGAGGAATCACAACCTCTCTTTGTGGATGTTTGTCATCCAAATCTGGTCGGTAGTTAGGAAGAGGCACTTTTCTTGCAAAAACTACTTTTCCAAACAACTCACTGTAAAGTCCCATTCTCTTAGCAAGGTTAGCAATTTGTTCATAGTCATTGGTTCTGAAACTTCTGTTAGTATTAGGAACTATTATGCTGTTAGAAATTCTGCTTGGTCACTAGATCTTCTTTGAGTTTTCTGGTTTCTGTTAACAGTTTTGGACATGTTTTTGAATTATCTAGTTTTGGCAGCATGAACTATTTCAAAGTATTTTTATATTTTTTGTAGCGAAACTAATCTGGTATTATGCATTTGATTAATTGGAAGGCCTGGTCTTAAACACGGGAACAAACGGTTTTTTAGAAGCTTGAAGAGGCAATTTTGAAGATACAAATTTATGGAGTTATGACAAAGGATTTGAAGGATATTGAAACGTGAAGGTTTTGGATAGAAGATTAGGTTAGAGCATTAAGTTTCTTGGTAGGTTTTATGTAAATATGTAGGGATGGTGACGAAGTGTAAAATCATATGTATTGAAATGTAACCTTGGAATTTTGTAATGTTTGGAAGACTCCCTGATAATTCCCTCCAGTATTCACAATATTACCTTCCAAATTGCCTTTGTAATCAACCCTTGACCAAACATGAATTTAAGAACCTTTGATGTCATCTAAACACATCTAGGAATTTTGGATGAATTGACAATGTAGCTTGCATTTGTAATGAAATTGGATGATGTTTTTAAAATCAAAACTTGAATTTAAATGACATCTCTCTTGAAATAATCCAAGTAAAACTCCATGATCAAAATTCAAATTCCTTGAAAGAATTTCATAGCAAATGACTTATATCATAAGCCATGAAACAATCCCAATCTTTAATTGATGACCATGAACCAAATGGTCCCTAATATCACCCTTTGTCCTTTATGAGAGAATAGATCCAATACTTTGATTCCCAATAATCTTGTGTGGCAAACAATAAGAAAACCAACCCGACTTGATCTTAATAAATTCATAATGCCATCCTTACATCACGCTTGGTTATCCAAAGAACACCCATTGAAAAGGTTGATAAACCCAAGTATGACAGGATATAAACCCTAATCTTCCTTTGAATGGGAGGGATCCCCTTTTTTTAACCTTAAGTTCAAAATCTTCTTTTTGTATCTCAAACATAATCCAAATTCTAAGCAAAGACAATTGATGAATCACTTATATTATGAGTACAAGAAAACCAGGAAAATTATCCACAAGCCCTGTAACATCTCTCACATTTATCTTGTTCTTCAAGCAAGTTAAATGACTTAACCTTGAATCACATTAAAAAATTCTATTCCATGTTTATCTTAAATCGATCCTTAATGTAACTCAAGCGTTCATGACAAGTCGAAACTCAGTTGACTTCAAATGGCGTGCTTGGTTAATGAACCTTAATCTCAATTGAATCCATAAATTCTAGTCATCTTGCATTTGAAACAACCATCTTTCATTTGATAAAATGAGCTAAATAAGATCCTGACCCTATCTTGAATCAACCGTTAATGAAGTCATGAACTTAATAAGCCCTTGAATCAATATTTACTTTGAGCATGATTAGAAGTTTCAACGAATCCAAATCACTAGCCATTTCTCTCAATAGTCCAAGTTAACTTCCAATTGAAGTAACAAGTACTTGATGAGAACCAAAAATTGTATCATTCAAAACAAGTCCACAATGTTGAAGAAGGATAAGCTCAAGATAACCACAAGATCGAGCCCTAATCCAATGATCCCCAGTTGAAGCATAACAGAAGAAAACCCTAATTCTTAAGCATTGAAGAAAGATTTCAACCTGATGCTGAGGAGAGAGAATATCCATGTAGTTTGATGATAAAGAAGTCCAGGAAATAAAGTCCTAGTTCGAACAAATGATTGATGGAGAAATCAACCGAAACAAGCTTATGAAAAGATAAGAGCCTTAAAGCCATTCAACAAACCTAATTCCTCGAAATCCATGATCTGCGGCTGAGTTAAACCCTAATACCTTTGTTCCTTGAAAGAAACTTGATGAAAAAAATTCTATCTTGAGGAAACCTGATAGCGAAGACATCTGTGTTGCTTGAGATCCCAAACCCTAATCTCAATGCTAAGAAAAATGAGAGCGCCAGTTGAATCAATTTTGAGTAAGATAGCAAACTCAATTCAGAGAGAGAAACCCTAATTCCAAAGCGCTACGATCTTATAACCATGAGACCAATGCTATGTGCAAAATGTACAAAGTGTGATAAGGGATCTTAGGTGCAAAAATTGGGGTACAACAACTGCCCTTATTTAAGTGTCTTATATCCGGAGATACGAAGATTAAAATCTTCATTTCGACGCGATTAAAGATACTTAAATATAAAACAAACCCTATTTTTGGCCCTAAGATACCATGCGATGCTTATGATTATGGATGTAACGTATGAATTTCATGCAGATGGGCAAGACACACACTGGAGAAGAAAAAGTAGAATCCACAAATTGACAAAAAGAATTCAACCGGGATAATAAATTTCTGGAGAACAACACGACTCATGGGACAAAAATTTGAATCTATTGGAGACAAATCGGCTCCATTGGGGAAAAGAAAACTCAGCTTCACTAGGGGGTAAGATCCAGAGAGGAGAAAAAATAACATAAACTTCAAAACTGAGGGGAAAATAATGGATGACAATGATTAACCGATAGCTGTGAACTATCCACTCATAGAGGAGATAGCAAAAAGAGAGTAACATTAACACATGGGATCGGCAATCACTAACCAGAAAAAGATCAATCTTACCTAAGAATGGTAATGGACTACCCACTCAAGAATGAAGGTAAAAAAAAAAACATAGGACAATACAGACTTTTATTGAAGGTAAAGAAACAGAAGATACACCGACGTTTACTGAAGGTGGAGAAAAGAGAATGCACTAGCTTTTACTGAAAGTGACGTCTCAAAGAGTAATAACGAACTTCCCAAAATCCTGGCGTTCTTCCTAGAACGAGTAAAAATACAAGCTATCTCAAATAAAGAGACTAACACTTGTAAAGATTTCACAACAAACCTTCTCTTTTAAAACTTCCTCGAAGAGATACCATTTAATGGAAAATCACATAAACTTCCCCTCGATCCTGACTATACGCCACAAACTGGTCTCAGTTTCTTCTTTAACTAAGATATTTCACTTGGAAAGGGTAAAAATACAAGATATCTCAAATAAAGAGACTACCACTTGTAAAGATTTCACAACAAACTTCTCTTGCAAAACTTCCTCGAAGAGATACCATTTGATGGAGAATCAGATAAACTTCCCCTTGATCCTGACTATAAGCCAGGAACTGGTCTCAGTTTCTTATTTAACCAAGATATTTAACCTGGAAAGGGTAAAAACACAAGATATCTCAAATAAAGAGACTACCAATTGTAAATATTTCACAATAAACTTTTCTTGCGAAACTTCCTCGAAGAGATACCATTTGATGGAGAATCAGATAAACTTCCCCTTGATCCTGACTATATAAGCCACGAACTTCTCTCAGTTTCTTCTTTAACCAAGATATTTCACCTGGAAGGGGTAAAAATACAAGCTATCTCAAATAAAGAGACTACCACTTGTAAAGATTTCTCAACAAACTTCTCTTGCGAAACTTCCTCGAAGAGATGCCATTTGATGGAGAATCAGATAAACTTCCCCTCGATCCTGACTATAAGCCACAAACTGGTCTCAGTTTCTTTTTTAACTAAGATATTTCACCTGGAAAGGGTAAAAATACAAGCTATCTCAAATAAAGAGACTACCACTTGTAAAGATTTCACAATAAACTTCTCTTGCGAAACTTCCTCGAAGAGATACCATTTGATGGAGAATTAGATTAACTTCCCCTCGATCCTGACTATAAGCCACGAACTGGTCTCAGTTTCTTCTTTAACCAAGATATTTCACCTGGAAAGGGTAAAAATACGAGCTATCGCAAATAAAGAGGCTACCACTTGTAAATATTTATCAATAAACTTCTCTTGCGAAACTTCCTCGAAGAGATACCATTTGATGGAGAATCAGATAAACTTCCCCTTGATCCTGACTATAAGCCATGAACTGGTCTCAGTTTCTTCTTTAACCAAGATATTTCACCTGGAAAGGGTAAAAATACAAGCTATCTCAAATAAAGAGACTACCACTTGTAAATATTTCACAACAAACTTCTCTTGCGAAACTTCCTCGAAGAGATACCATTTTATGGAAAATCAGATAAACTTCCCCTCGATCCTGACTATTATCCATGAACTGGTCTCAGTTTCTTCTTTAACCAAGATGTTTCACCTGGGAAGGGTAAAAATACAGCTATAGGGTAAAAATACAGCTAACAGAAAGGAGCTAACATGCTCTTAGAAGAGAAAATCCGAATGGCGAAAAGAAAGGGATTGGTTGGTATTTTTTTTATTATGAAAAGTATTTTTGTATGCTTAGTATTCTTTATACTTTGCCAAGAAAAAAAAAGAAGTTTTAGTTTTAAGTGCAATTATGAAAAAACGGGGAAAAACATATAAGGGAGACTAACCTATCTCTAACCTAATGTTATCATACAATGGGGGATCCTACCTAAGTTAGCATGCCAAAGAAATTCTAACAAACTATCCTATAGTGAACATGCGCTGAGAGCGAAGTGGTGATCTCAATTTCTAAATTGAGTGACTCATCGATCAACAAGAAATAAAGGAAAGCGATAAAATCCTATAGGGAGCATGCACTGAGAGCGAAGTCGTGATCTCAATTTCTAAATTGAGTGACTCATCGATCAACAAGAAAGAAAACAAACACAAGCACAACACATA